GAAGGACTTGAAAAAATAATGTGTCATCTTTTTTACACCAATAGATTTTGTTGTTGGTCTACGAAGATGTTCAGGAGACATTTGTGTTGTGCATCTGTTGTTGTCTGGATCCTTTGGCCACCCGTGAAGATCTGGGTTAGAATTGGTCTTCAGCAACCCATGCATGTCTCCACCCGTGAAGATCTGGGTTAGAATTGGTCTTCAGCAAACCATGCGTGTCTCCACCTGTGAAGATCTGGGTTAGAATTGGTCTTCAGCAAACCATGCGTGTCTCCACCTGTGAAGATCTGGGTTAGAATTGGTCTTCAGCAACCCATGCATGTCTCCACCCGTGAAGATCTGGGTTAGAATTGGTCTTCAGCAAACCATGCATGTCTCCACCCGTGAAGATCTGGGTTAGAATTGGTCTTCAGCAAACCATGCGTGTCTCCACCCATGAAGATCTGGGTTAGAATTGGTCTTCAGCAAACCATGCGTGTCTCCACCTGTGAAGATCTGGGTTAGAATTGGTCTTCAGCAACCCATACGTGTCTCCACCCGTGAAGATATGGGTTAGAATTGGTCTTCAGCTAACCATGCGTGTCTCCACCTGTGAAGATCTGGGTTAGAATTGGTCTTCAGCAAACCATGCGTGTCTCCACCTGTGAAGATCTGGGTTAGAATTGGTCTTCAGCAAACCATGCGTGTCTCCACCCGTGAAGATCTGGGTTAGAATTGGTCTTCAGCAAACCATGCGTGTCTCCACCCGTGAAGATCTGGGTTAGAATTGGTCTTCAGCAAACCATGCATCTCCACCCGTGAAGATCTGGGTTAGAATTGGTCTTCAGCAAACCCCCATGAAGATCTGGGTTAGAATCTCTTCAACCCACCCATGAAGATCTGGGTTAGAATTGGTCTTCAGCAACCCATGCGTGTCTCCACCCGTTAAGATCTGGGCTAGAATTGGCCTTCAGCAAACCATGAGTATCTCTACCCATGAAGATCTGGGTTAGAATTGGTCTTCAGCAACCCATGCGTATCTCCACCCATGAAGATCTGGGTGAGAATTGGTCTTCAGCAAACCATACGTGTCTCCACCCGTTAAGATCTGGGTTAGAATTGGTCTTCAGTAAACCATGTGTGTCTACGCCGTTGATCACTGGATTGTCTGGTCCAGACTCGATTATTTACTGCCGCCATATAGCTGGAATATTGCTAAGTGCGGCGTTAAACAACAAACCAACCAACCTTCTTTGGCTGTAAAGCGTATGGGTCTTTAAGCGTTTTCTGATTCTGTTTCCAACAAATATTGGAAAAGTCACCTCCCAGATGACTCATAAATGTTGGTCCCTCTTGGCAGTCATGAATTATAAGTGGCCTTGACCTATTGTCGTGACTATAAGACACGTTCGCAACACAAAACTGCTGTAAAACTGCTGGTGCATCCAACAGTAATATTGATCACTTCATCATGAGACCCGAGGTTCACTGGCTTGTTGCCACTCATTTGATTGGCGGTTGTATAGATGTTTGTTTCTATATTCAATATTATTGTTCATAGGATAGCTCATGGTGTGTTAGCTTTCAGTGGCTATTGCTTGGGTTCTATTCCAAGGCCCTTTGACTGCACTTGTCACCTGATGACATCGTGGATATTGTTTTAGCACTGTCAGAAATAAATGTTCCCCATTGGGATCTGAATGAGACTTGGTCCCAAGTTGCCAGCATATGTGTGTCTCGACTCTTTTACATTGAGCGGTCAGGCAGTCACGTGGTTTATAGCTGTTCATGATATCAATCTCTGGCTTGGTCCGTATTTGGTTAAATAAGGCTTTGTGTTGCTGCAGTATTGCTGCGTGTTGTGTTAAACATCAACCAAACAAAGACACATAGATATCGCATTGATTAGTTACAGGTGCCAGCAGCAGGACATTAGGTTCATAATTCTCATGTGGCATTAGAAAACACCAGAGGGATTAGAGAACACTTGACTGGTACAGGACACCAGAGGGATTAGAGAACACTTGACTGATACAGAACACCAGAGGGATTAGAGAACACTTGACTGGTACAGGACACCAGAGGGATTAGAGAACACTTGACTGATACAGAACACCAGAGGAGAACAGAGAACATTTTGACTGATACAGAACACCAGAGGGATTAGAGAACACTTGACTGATACAGAACACCAGAGGGATTAGAGAACACTTGACTGATACAGAACACCAGAGGGATTAGAGAACACTTGACTGATACAGAACACCAGAGGGATTAGAGAACACTTGACTGATACAGAACACCAGAGGGATTAGAGAACACTTGACTGATACAGGACACCAGAGGGATTAGAGAACACTTGACTGGTACAGGACACACCAGAGGGATTAGAGAACACTGGACTGATACAGAACACCAGAGGGATTAGAGAACACTTGACTGATACAGAACACCAGAGGGATTAGAGAACACTTGACTGATACAGAACACCAGAGGGATTAGAGAACACTTGACTGATACAGAACACCAGACTGAGGGATTAGAGAACACTTGACTGATACAGGACACCAGAGGGATTAGAGAACACTTGACTGATACAGAACACCAGAGGGATTAGAGAGAACACTTGACTGATACAGAACACCAGAGGGATTAGAGAACATTTGACTGATACAGGACACCAGAGGGATTAGAGAACACTTGACTGATACAGAACACCAGAGGGATTAGAGAACAGGGATTAGAGAACACTTGACTGATACAGGACACCAGAGGGATTAGAGAACACTTGACTGATACAGGACACCAGAGGGATTAGAGAACACTTGACTGATACAGAACACCAGAGGGATTAGAGAACACTTGACTGATACAGAACACCAGAGGGATTAGAGAACACTTGACTGATACAGAACACCAGAGGGATTAGAGAACACTTGACTGATACAGGACACCAGAGGGATTAGAGAACACTTGACTGATACAGGACACCAGAGGGATTAGAGAACACTTGACTGATACAGAACACCAGAGGGATTAGAGAACACTGATGACTGAGAACACTACATACAGAACACCAGAGGGATTAGAGAACACTTGACTGATACAGAACACCAGAGGGATTAGAGAACACTTGACTGATACAGAACACCAGAGGGATTAGAGAACACTTGACTGATACAGAACACCAGAGGGATTAGAGAACACTTGACTGATACAGAACACCAGAGGGATTAGAGAACACTTGACTGATACAGAACACCAGAGGATTAGAGAACACTTGACTGATACAGAACACCAGAGGGATTAGAGAACACTTGACTGATACAGGACACCAGAGGGATTAGAGAACACTTGACTGATACAGGATTAGAGAACACTTGACTGATACAGAACACCAGAGGGATTAGAGAACACTTGACTGATACAGAACACCAGAGGGATTAGAGAACACTTGACTGATACAGAACACCAGAGGGATTAGAGAACACTTGACTGATACAGAACACCAGAGGGATTAGAGAACACTTGACTGATACAGAACACCAGAGGGATTAGAGAACACTTGACTGATACAGGACACCAGAGGGATTAGAGAACACTTGACTGATACAGAACACCAGAGGGATTAGAGAACACTTGACTGATACAGAACACCAGAGGGATTAGAGAACACTTGACTGATACAGGACACCAGAGGGATTAGAGAACACTTGACTGATACAGAACACCAGAGGGATTAGAGAACACTTGACTGACACAGAACACCAGAGGGATTAGAGAACACTTGACTGATACAGAACACCAGAGGGATTAGAGAACACTTGACTGATACAGGACACCAGAGGGATTAGAGAACACTTGACTGATACAGAACACCAGAGGGATTAGAGAACACTTGACTGATACAGGACAGAGGATTAGAGAACAACTGATACAGGGATTAGAGAACATTTGACTGATACAGAACACCAGAGGATTAGAGAACACTTGACTGGTACAGGACACCAGAGGGATTAGAGAACACTTGACTGATACAGGACACCAGAGGGATTAGAGAACACTGGACTGATACAGGACACCAGAGGGATTAGAGAACACTTGACTGATACAGGACACCAGAGGGATTAGAGAACACTTGACTGATACAGAACACAAGAGGGATTAGAGAACACTTGACTGATACAGAACACCAGAGGGATTAGAGAGGGAGAACACCAGAGGGATTAGAGAACACTGGACTGATACAGGACACCAGAGGATTAGAGACCTTGAGGGATTAGAGAACACTTGACTGATACAGAACACAGAGGAGAGGGATTAGAGGAACACTGGACTGATACAGAACACCAGAGGGATTAGAGAACACTTGACTGATACAGAACAAAAGGGGGATTAGAGAACACTTGACTGATACAGGACACCAGAGGGATTAGAGAACACTTGACGGATGCAGAACACCAGAGGGATTAGAGAACACTTGACTGGTACAGAACACCAGAGGAGAACACTTGACTGATACAGGACACCAGAGGGATTAGAGAACACTTGACTGATACAGGACACCACTTGACTGAGAGGGATTAGATTAGAGAACACTTACAGAACACCAGATTAGAGAACACTTGAGAGAACACCACTTGACTGAGGGATTAGAGAACACTTGACTGATACAGGACACCAGAGAGGATTAGAGAACACTTTGACTGGAGGACACCAGAGGGATTAGAGAACAGTTGTTGGATTAGAAACAAAAGTTGTGGGATAGCAGAACACCAGGGGATTGTAGAACACTTGACTGATAAAACAGAACACAAGAAGGGGAGGTGTTTAGAGAACACTTGAAAACTGATCAGTCCCTTTAGGACACTTCACTAGTTTCACAGGACACCAGAGGAGTTCCTGAAAATGAAGAGCTTATGTATTACTATTATACTTTAAAGGTCAGTTTAACTGAATAGATGTTTTAAGTTCAGAGATGAACGTGAGTGTAGCAGCTGATGTTCTTCTCTTTGCTCCAGTTGGCTGCATTCCGGAAGAAGAAAGCTAAGAAGAGACGGAAGCCAACTGATGATGATGCGAGCAGCCAGCGAAGCGGCAGCCACGCTGACGCGTCATCGTGTAGTGATGTGCAGTCCCTCACAGGAGATGTATGTGTTGCCACAATCAGTTTGATGTAGTGTAGTGATGCAGGTCTGTTGTTTGTACACTGTTGTGTGTGTACTGTTCATGCTGTTGTGTGTGCACGTATGTGTATGCACACTGCCTCATCTGTTACTATTTCCTTTTGATTATTTTGTTGTTGTTGAGATATTTCACCACAAGTTGATAAGTAACTGAATTCTCTTCTCATTAAAATCAATTTGCTGTACTAAAATGTGAAGACATCCCTTTTCCTGTCAAGTTAGAATGACTTTTGGGAACAATGAGCAGTGAAAAGATTTACGAAAGATTGACATTGGCTCATCAGACAGCAGCTTCCTTGAGCTTTTAGTCTTGGGGCGGTGAGGTAGCCTTGTGTTTAAAGTATTCACTCATCATGCCGATTCCCCACATGGGTACAATGTGTGAAGCCCATTTCTGGTGTCCCCCGCCGTGATACTGCCGAAATATCGGTAAGATCATTGCAAAGACATACTCACTAATGTTGAGAGTTTAAAGTCAGAATAGATCGAGCGGGAGACTAATCCTGACTAGGCTTTGTCCCATCAAAGTTTCAATACTGGACCCAAGAAATGTGTAAAATTGTAGGGTTGTCCTTCCCAGGCAGTACTGAATGTCTTCCTATTGGTGTGGTCATCGTTGGGAAGTGAGGAAGAAATGATGATTCACGACCAATAAGGACTGGATCAGTGGAAGGTTGTTGTGACGTAACCTGGGATGGATCAAGATCTTGGTGTAGCAGTAATGTGAACTAAGTAATGCTTGGGATTTGGCAGTATTTTGTGGACCCTCAGGGAAAGAAATTCAGCTGAGATTTGTGTAGTACTGATGCAGTGAACCAGATTATAGATATTCATCCAGCATTTTGAAGATGTGAGGCAGGAAGTATCCTGTATTTACCTGTCACCAGACGAGCTACTGTACGATGAAGGGGGAATGTTTGCTTGGATATTGAATGTGGTGTATTTCATCAAGTTTAGAACAAAGCACCTGCCAATTGTCATCCTCTGCATGTAATATGGGAGTTAACAATAATCTACGATCTTCAGATTGTTTGTTACTATTACTAATCAGCTTTACACTCACTCACTCATAATGTTTTTTGTTTAATGAATGTTGTAAACATCTGTGCCCTGCAGCTTGTCCGGCTTTCCTCCCAGACGACACACTGTGATATTTGTCAGGAATACCCAATTCACTCACTGTTGTTCAATTGTTGTTGCATGTTTTGCATGTGCATGTTGATTGTTGTTTATTTCAGAGTGACCAGAGTTCTGTGGTCAGCTACAGTGGGGAGGAGTGGTCAGCAGAGGTAGGTCAGGAGGGGCACCTGCTCCAGGGACTAACCAGTATGGCTGTTATATCTCACTCATTGCACAACTTGTACACGTCAGTTTGTCTGGGGGCTAGGAAAATATCTTGTTGCTGGTGTCCTGATGTAATTTACAGCTTCTCTTGTCCTTCAGCAGCTTCCCAGGTCAAGGGAGGTAACTAATAAAAGTCCAGATTCCACCCTTTCTGAACAAATCTGGAATATGGGAGTTTAATTTTGCCTTAACTAATGAGTCTATATGTCTATATACCCTGAGTTCCCTAAATGATGGTTACTAGAGTTGTGGGTCCTGTTTTGTTGAAGAATATAGAGAACAGGAAACACACTGAGATGTCGATGTCCACTGTATGTAGCATTGTCTCTCATGTGTGAGTGAGTGAGTGGGTTGAGTTTTACGCCACACTCAGCTATATTCCAGCTATATGGTGGCGGTCTTAAAATAATCCAGTCTGGACCAGACAATCCAGTGATCAACGTCATGAGCATCGATCTACGCAGTTAGGATAGGATGACATTTGTCATCCATGTCAGTGAGCCTGGCCACCCAATCCCATTACGGTTAGTCGCCTCTTAAGACAAGCATGGGTTACTGAAGATGAATTCAAAGCCGGATCTTCACGGATCTCACATATATACAATACACCTCAGTGAGAGTATTATTTGGGAAATATTTTTTTGAAAGTTTTAGTTGTGTAAATGTGCTGACGATGTATCCTTGCCGAGGTCATGTAACACTCTATGTCAGTGACACCCATGATGTCCTGTGTTGTAGGAGGCGGACCTGCACTCCTCCGTGTACTACCAGACGAAGCTGGTGGACGCCACACGACGAGTTGCTGAGCTGGAGGAGATGATTGAAGGGAAGCAGCTAGCCCTGGACAAGGTGTTGCAGGAGAACGACCTGCTCCGACAGCAACCCAAACAACAGGTGAGACTCACCACCAGGGAAGCTTAGATAGAATAGGCCTGCATTACATTGGTATGTTGCAAAATGGATTGAAAATGTCAACCCTGAGCTATAGCTGTGCCATTGCTGATACTCTGCTAACTTCGGGGTGACAAGTAAGTCACGTACATGACTGGTTTGTGCGGGAAAGGGCAAAGGGAGATAACTTGTGGGTGAGTGTATTTATATGTCCCCTTCGGGAACTTCAAGGGATTCAAGTGTTCCACTACCATTCGAAGAGGAAAGGGAGATAAGCAAAAGATCATGAGTCAGGATAAGTATAAAATATCAATTTTACTTAAAAAATTACATTTTTCTCTGGAAATATCAAGCAGATGTAGATGATAGAAATGTAGAATTGTTTCGTAGCTGTAGGCGAGTTGTATGATGCTTGTGGTTAACAATGAAATTGACATCCACTGCATTAATGTTATCCTAGTTACCATGGTTATCTGGGTCTCACATGTTTGTAAACTTCTCATCTACAGCAAAAGACTGAAACTGTTGATAGTGAAAACAACATAGCAGAAGGCAAAGTGGTCGTGGCTGAAATGAGGGTAAATACTCACTGTTTGCTGATTACAATATTGTCTGGAAAAAAGCGTGTCTGTTGAATATGTTGGAAGCTGGCTTGAACTAAGAGTTTGTGACATGAATATCTCATTGGCACTTTGCCCGTAGGCAGATTGGAAAAAACTTTAAACTGCCGTTGTGTTGCTCTTTTGGAGGTAAAGCCATCCTTCCAGAGGAATAATCCAACCTGCCATGTTTGTGTAACTTACGACAGATTATCACAGAGCTTTAGCAACTGACAAACAAACTTACAACAATCTGTCCAGCTTCGTAACAAGTGAATTTCCTTTTCTTGATGTCCTCTCACTGTTTTCAACTACGTTCTACACTCAACACAAAGTTTGCATAGGTTGAAACTAAAACTATCACATTTTGTTATTCAGTTAAATCATTTGCTAAAAGCATAACATCCGTTTTCAGATCCATTCTGGAGATTTGCATTCAGCATTGGCACAGAGGGACCTCATCATTCAACAGCTGACCTCACGACTCAAAGCAACAGCCGAGAAATCTGCCCAAGACTACACGCAAGAGACACAAACACTAGCCCACCAGGTGTCTCTGCTCCAGCAACAACTCCAGCAGGTAGGCCTCAATTTTTATGTCTTTCAGTAGCGTTAAGTTGAAATTATTCTTTGTGTACAGTTGTACGAAGGTTCAAAGGTGCCACAGACTGTCATCTGGTGCTGTCTTGGATTGTGGTCGCTGTGTCTGTCCCAATACAAGAGTCATGTTTCTGAGGCGTCCTACACATCCTTCAAGTAAATGCTCGCTTAACAAATGCTTTTTACCATCTGAGGAAATATTATACATGTCTGGCCATCTTTATGCCATGGTCATTATTTAGATTTGTGCTTTTAAACAGGTTATTAGTACCTAACGCTTTGATTGTGGATTGGTGTTCCGTTCAGTTACTGAAATGGTTGTGTAGCGTAATAGCTACAGCTCATGTGAGTGAGGACAACTGATTGAGGTGGGCAGGATACAGGTTTAGGGAAGATATTTTGTAGGCTGACAAGTGGGTCACTAATTGGGCTAAGACAGATTGGAACCTGTCGGTCAAGGGAGACAACTTTGAGATGCCTCGCTCAGACACTGCCCCTTGAGTGATGAAGCACCAACATTTTCTTGTACTGAAAACAATGTTGGTGAAGTTCTTGGATATAGATTTACCATTAAAATTACTGTTAGTCATCTGCAGTGTTTAGCATAACCTACTGGTTGTCATGGTTACGGGGTACTGGTGTCGGTAGAATGCTACGTGCAGGTAGCAGTCCATTTTGTCTCCATCTTTGTGTCAGAACACATGGTGATGTAGAAGCTATGACATCGTCAGGAAAGATTGTCAGTAGAGACTGAGGTTAATGTGTCTCCAAATCCTGTATGGGGAAAAGCGTCAGCTGAAACAAGCATAATATGATATATGTCAACTACAAGAAAGAATACTATGTGGTGAAATGCTGATATAAGCTGTGAACATATTTTCGTCTGAAATAGTTTTCACAAGAAAACAAGAATGCTCAGTGTTCTGTGGTTTATTTTCACCATCCTTGGTTCTGTATGGCATGCCGGCACATAATTAGCCACCAAACATTATTCCCATCATTACCCAAGGGGTGACAAATTCCCGTCATTACCCAAGGGACAACAAATTCCCATCATTACCCATGGGGCAACAAATTCCCTCATTTCCCATTGGGTAACAAGTTCCCATCATTCCTCATGAGGCAACAGATTCCCATCAGTACCCATTGGGCATCAAATTCCCTCATTTCTCAGAGAGGAACAATTCCCCATCATTTCTCAGAGTGGAATATTTCCCTCATGTCCATGGTGAACGTTGACATCATATCTCATCTTTTTCCCTTTTTTTCGCGAATGTTTGTCGGGTGATATTTTAGTCATTTCCCTGCTGTTTCCAATGCAAAGATGGACTTACAGAGCAATTTGAACATTAAGGTGATTGGGTTTGTATACTGTGTCTAGTTCTAGTTTGCATTGAAATCCTACGTCATTTGAATATCAACCCTCAAATTTTTCTCATATTTGGGATACACTGTAAATCATATTTAAGGAGTCGTTGTGTGCATTCCCATTTTAGATGTTAACATCCAATGTCATGATCAACAGCTTTCCTTGTTAAATTTGCCAACACAGGAAGCAAATTACAAATCAAGTTTGTCCTCTGAGCACTTTCAGTTTAAACACACCTTAATATGAAATAAGCAGTATGAATATTAATGTTGAATTTCACTTGTTTGTAATCATTTTTGGTTTTGTTTCTTTTTGAAAAGCTTGAAAAAATTAAATAAACAAAAATCTTAGAAAAGCCATGTCTGGTTTCTGCAAGAATGTTGAGATTTCCAAGGGTTGCCATTCAAATCGTTCTTGTTTTGACCAACTGCAGTTACTTCCCATTGTTTGTCACACTCAGACGCTCTACAGATTCCCTGTTGCAATGACTGTTATGCTTAGAAAGTGTTGCTCAGTCCAGTCTTTGCTTGGATTCTAACACAAGTGATGGTGGGGATGCATGTAGCCACAGGACTATCTGGGACAGATGTGTGTCTGGATACCATAAATATAGCTGTAAAACTCCACACTAGCTGTGTCTAGAGTCTGTAACACGGCTGTGGCCAGGAGCTGGTCCAGTTTCTGGGGTTGAATTTCACTTGTCCACAATAGCTCCAAGTTACACACCAGGGATTACATGCTACTTGTCCACAATAGCTCCAAGTTACACACCAGGGATTACGTGCTACTTGTCCACAATAGCTCCAAGTTACACACCAGGGATTACGTGCTACTTGTCCACAATAGCTCCAAGTTACACACCAGGGGTTACGTGCTACTTGTCCACAATAGCTCCAAGTTACACACCAGGGATTACATGCTACTTGTCCACAATAGCTCCAAGTTACACACCAGGGATTACATGCTACTTGTCCACAATAGCTCCAAGTTACACACCAGGGATTACATGCTACTTGTCCACAATAGCTCCAAGTTACACACCAGGGATTACGTGCTACTTGTCCACAATAGCTCCAAGTTACACACCAGGGGTTACGTGCTACTTGTCCACAATAGCTCCAAGTTACACACCAGGGGTTACGTGCTACTTGTCCACAATAGCTCCAAGTTACACACACAGGGATTACGTGCTACTTGTCCACAATAGCTCCAAGTTACACACAGGGATTACGTGCTACTTGTCCACAATAGCTCCAAGTTACACACCAGGGATTACGTGCTACTTGTCCACAATAGCTCCAAGTTACACACCAGGGGTTACGTGCTACTTGTCCACAATAGCTCCAAGTTACACACCAGGGATTACGTGCTACTTGTCCACAATAGCTCCAAGTTACACACAGGGATTACATGCTACTTGTCCACAATAGCTCCAAGTTACACACCAGGGATTACGTGCTACTTGTCCACAATAGCTCCAAGTTACACACCAGGGGTTACGTGCTACTTGTCCACAATAGCTCCAAGTTACACACACCAGGGTTACGTGCTACTTGTCCACAATAGCTCCAAGTTACACACCAGGGATTACGCGTGCTACTTGTCCACAATAGCTCCAAGTTACACACCAGGGATTACATGCTACTTGTCCACAATAGCTCCAAGTTACACACCAGGGATTACGTGCTACTTGTCCACAATAGCTCCAAGTTACACACCAGGGGTTACGTGCTACTTGTCCACAATAGCTCCAAGTTACACACCAGGGGTTACGTGCTACTTGTCCACAATAGCTCCAAGTTACACACCAGGGATTACATGCTACTTGTCCACAATAGCTCCAAGTTACACACCAGGGGTTACGTGCTACTTGTCCACAATAGCTCCAAGTTACACACCAGGGGTTATGTGCTACTTGTGCACAGATGGGATATCTGGGGTTACATGCTATTCCTCATCATCTCAGGCTTCTTGTTCATCCTCCATGGCTTCAGAGCCTGGCTGTCAAGATATGTGTATGAGCTGGAACAGACTGATGTATGTTGGCACTGACCACATGAGTGAGAGGAATCAACAGTAACTTGTACCACTACTTTGAAATGGTTTATTCATATAGTAATAGACATAAATATATTTTCAGATTATTCTAGTGTTTAGAATCAAGTCAGCAGGTTAGTAGTTACTAACTACTGCTTTAATTCTTTGAAAATAATTGCAGTATTTAGTAAAAGTTTGGGGGTGGTGAGTAAAATGAGTGTCCAAAAAACAGGAACTATGGTCACCTTTTACAGAAGTCATTTTCTGCTCATATACCCTCCTATTAGCCATGGTTAATAAGCTCAGTAAGTCATGGATATCGGCCATTCATTGCCTGCTATTTTGCATGCTTTATCACCATCACGTCAGTGACCATTTTAAAATATCATTGGTCTGTTCACTCACTGCATGTATTTTGATCTGTTTTCCCCCCTTGTTCTGTTGTTTGTGTCCTTTCTTTGCATGGTATTTGTGTGGTGATCTGCAAGTTTGGTTTCATGCACTATTGGATGTTGTGATGAGATTTCTTTTTTTTCCTCCGTCTTTGGTATAGTCTTATAGTATATGTTGTGCTGTTTGTGATTGTCCATCATTCACAAATGTCCCATGTTCATGATGTTCCAGTCAGTGACTGATTGCACTTCTACAAATATCCTTGAGATGAACACTGTGTGAGTTGATTTATATGCAGGCATGTCAAGGACGAGGATGCCCAACATGGCGTTCACATAGGCTTCACATTGTTTTCACATGGCATTAAACCATGGTGTCCATCTCTGTTTGTTAGTGCCAAGAAGATGCCTGCCTGCCTCAGGTGTGCCAGGATCTGCTTGTTTGGGACTCATCTATCAGGATGATGCCTTTCCTGGTGGATCACTGATCAAAGTGGTCTTAAGCTCTATTGTTTGTCTGGTTGTTTGTGGCTGGCATTAGGTGTTGTTAGGTAGACTAGGTCACAAGTGCCTAATAAACTGTGAGTGATAGGAACATAGGTCTTGGCAGAACTGAATACCAGACCGGGATCAGAATATCTGCTCTATAGCTCATAATGGGGGGGGATTCCTAAACACAATAAGAACACTGTAGGTCATCCAGTGAGGGATTCCTAAACACAATAGGAACACTAGGTCATCCAGTGAGGGATTCCTGAACACAATAGGAACACAGTAGGTCATACAGTGGGGATTCCTAAACACAATAGTCACACTAGGTCATCCAGTGGTGATTCCTAAGCACAATTAGAACACTATTAGGTCATCCAGTGGTGATTCCTAAGCAATTACAAGTTAGGTGATTCCTAAGCACAACAACACTGTAGGTCATCCAGTGGGAATTCCTAAGCACAATAGTAACCCATTAGGTCATCCAGTGGTGATTCCTAAGCACAATTAGAACACAGTATGTCATCCAGTGGGGATTCCTAAGCACAATTAGAACACCGTAGGTCATCGAGTGGGGATTCCTGAGCACAATAGGAACCGAGTTAGTCATCTAGTGGGGATTCCTGAGCACAATTAGAACACTGTAGGTCATCCAGTTGGGATTCCCCAGCACAAATTGAACACTGTAGGGCATCCAGTGGGGATTCCTAAGCACAATTAGAACACAATAGGAACACTAGGTCATCCAGTGAGGGATTCCTGAACACAATAGGGACACAGTAGGTCATACAGTGGGGATTCCTAAACACAATAGGAACACTAAAGGTCATCCAGTGGGGATTCCTAAACACAATAGGAACACTAAAGGTCATACAGTGGGGATTCCTAAACACAATAGGAACACTAAAGGTCATCCAGTGGGGATTGCTAAGCACAATAGGAACACTGTAGGTCATCAAGTGGTTATTCCTAAACACAATAGTAACCCATTAGGTCATCCAGTGTGGATTCCTAAGCACAATTAGAACACTGTAGGTCATCCAGTGGGAATTCCTAAACACAATAGTAACCCATTAGGTCATCCAGTGGTGATTCCTAAGCACAATTAGAACACCGTAGGTCATCCAGTGGGGATTCCTAAGCACAATAGGAACCGAGTAAGTCATGTAGTGGTGATCCCTGAGCACAATAGGAACACTGTAGGTCAACCAGTGTCGATTCCTAAGCACAGTAGTAACACAGTATGTCATCCAGTGGGGATTCCTAAGCACAATTAGAACACAGTAGGTCATCCAGTGGGGATTCCTAAGTGGGGATTCCCACACAGGTCAACCAGTGTAGATAGAACACCTAAGCACAATGGAACACTCATCATCAGTGGGGATTCTAAGCTAAGCATCAATGGGAGAACACACGTAGGTCATCCAGTGGGGATTCCTGAGCACAATTAGAACACAGTGGGTCATCCAGTGGGGATTCCTAAGCACAATTAGAACACTGTAGGTCATCCAGTGGGGATTCCTGAGCACAATTAGAACACTGTAGGTCATCCAGTGGGGATTTCCATGCGCAATTTGAACACAGTAGGTCATTCAGTGGAAATTACTAAGCACAATAGGAACACTGAAGGTCATCCAGTGGGGATTCCTAAGCACAATAGTAACAGTAGGTCATCCAGTGGGGATTCCTAAGCACAATTAGAACACTGTAGGCCATCCAGTGGGGATCCCTGAGCACAATAGTAACACAGTATGTCATCCAGTGGGGATTCCTAAGCACAATTAGAACACCGTAGGTCATCCAGTGGGGATTCCTAAGCACAGATAGAACACCGTAGGTCATCCAGTGGGGATTCCTAAGCACAATTAGAACACCGTAGGTCATCCAGTGGGGATTCCTGAGCACAATTAGAACACAGTGGGTCATCCAGTGGGGATTCCTAAGCACAATTAGAACACTGTAGGTCATCCAGTGGGGATTCCTAAGCACAATTAGAACACTGTAGGTCATCCAGTGGGGATTTCCATGCACAATTTGAACACTGTAGGTCATCCAGTGGGGATTCCCGAGCACAATTTGAACACTGTAGGTCATCCAGTGGGCATTCTTAAGCACAATAGTGACACAGTAGGTCCAGGGCTGCAGAAGGGCCGTATCGGCGTATTTACGGATAGAAAATATGCACGATACGGTAGGAAATATTTTGGAAAACGTAGCTGATACGCAAAAAGTATTGTTTTATTGTTCATTGACCTGTTTACACAAGAGTAGCTATGTTTTGGTGCATATATGAAACAAAACACAAGATTACTGATACTCCAATAATTTCCATTTAGTACTCTAAATGGACTCTTAAGGATTAGAACACTGTAGGTCATCCAGTGGGGATTCCTGAACATAATAGGAACATGGTAGGTCATCCAGTGAGGGATTCCTGAACACAATAGGAACACTGTAGGTCATCCAGTGGGGATTCCCGAGCATAATAGGAACACAGTAGGTCATCCAGTTGTGATTCCCAAGCACAATAGGAACACAGTAGGTCATCCAGTGGGAATTCCTGAACGCAATAGGAACACAGTTTGTCATTCAGTGGAAATTCCTAAGCACAATAGGAACACTTTAGGTCATTCAGTGAGTATTCCAAAGTTGAAAAGGGACCCTGTGACTCATGATTGGGGAAATGGAAACATACCAGTTTATTTCTCGGACCATGTTTGATAATTTACCAGCCACCAAAGAGAATATGTTTTCATTGTCTCTCGGTGGTGATTTCAGAGCCCAGTAGGCATCCCAGGTGGTAACCCTCTCACAGGAGGCTTTTGATGTTTACAGTTACTCCCTAATGCTGCATTGAACAACTCACTTGCTGTCTATGTTCACTTACACTGTCAGTCATTGGTTAATTCAACATGTACTACTCAACTTTAGATAAGGATAGGGAGTATCCATCATGTCTTGGTGGGGTCTGAATGTGATCGACAACTTAGATAGGTCATTGTACTAGTAATCAGTATTGCTGTATAATTATGTGCAGCTGCATTTCAATGCGATTACGCCTAACTACTCAGTTCAATAATTGTTAGTCATTTTTTTTGCATGGTATATTTTGGTCTGCATCGAACACAAATCGCACAGTAACAAATGAAGTCATTGACTGGACTGTAAAAAGGACAAGGAGTTTTGAACATTGTTGATGTCATTTAAGAAAATCAAAATTGTAAAACAAGTACGAATAATTTTTGAATTACCAGAAGTTGTGTGAGTGTTCCTTCTCTTTCATGCAAAATATGCTGTGAACATTCTTTCTCTTCAATTAAAGATATTCTTTCCTCTTCTTTCCAGGCTGGTGAAACCCTGCGGGGCCAGCTCACCCAGCACAATGTATCTGCACAAGCCTTGCAGGAAGCTAAAGCTGAGATCCTGGCGCTGCAAACCCTCCTTCAGGAGAAGGAACACGTCCTCGCCCAGCTCAGTCAGGACTTACTCAACCAGAAGGAAGATCCACACAGACTTGAGCAGAGAGAGAAGGAACTGGAATCATCTGTCCATGGATATGAAGCAAAGACCAAGGAACTGGAAGCTTCAGTTAGTCAGTATGAAATAAGGATACGGGAGCTTGTTGAAAGGTACGAATTGAGGGAGAAAGAGTTGGTTCTGTGTGTGCAGCAACATGAGGTCAGGGAGAAAGAGCTGGAGGTGTTTGTGCAGCAGTATGCGAGCAAAGAAGCAACTCTACAGGAGAACATCAGCAGACTTGAAACACAGCTGGAGACAGCAGTTAGTGACAAGCAAGCTGTTATTGCCTCCCTGGAATCTGTTGATCAGAATGAGCAGCATAAGATTGCTGTGTTGACACTACAGATGCAAAACCTGAACCAAGAAAAGGAGGAGGTTGTTTCTGAGTTGGATCAGGTGAAGACAAGGAATGTTGAGCTTGAGGAGCTCTGTAAGCAGCTGGAGGAGTTACAGGAGGAATGTTTATTGAAACAGTCAGAGAATGATGAACTGAGGAACCGGATCAATGACCAGCAGGGTGAAACTCTTGCTCTCAAATCTCAGGTAGAGGTACTGCTCCAGGATGGGGAACAGAGCAGCCAAGAACTGGATGTGCTTCGGGATCTCCTGGAGAACAAGGAACAGGATCAGGAGATTGAACTACAAAGGAAGAACACTTTCATTCTGCAGTTAGAGACAGATATTAAGAAACTGCAGGATGAAAACAGCACATATGTGTCCAGTATTGAATCTCTGAATTCACAGATATTGTCGATGCAGGCAGATCTTACTGCATCAGTGACTGAGAGCAAATCATTTAAGACTTTAGCAGATAGGTTCAAAAGTGAGTTGATAAAAGCTGGGAAGGATCCTGAAAGTGTTTCTGGAGATAATGTGGATGGAGATAGGGATGATGATGATGTAGATGGGTCTGATGTATTTGCTGTTGAGTCTGAACTGGAAGTAAGAAGAATCTCTGCAAATGTTCAGACAAATGTAGAACTGAAAGGTTTTGTTACAGATTCAGTGACTCTGAGTGAAAGTGAAGTGAGAAAAAACTTTGAAGTTGAAGTTTCCCACAGGGTTTTGGATGAGGAAGTTGTGAGAACTGAAAATGTTAAATCTTTGGGTATGGCCTCGTCTTCCACTGAAGATGGAGGTAGTGTGACAAGGCCTCCAAAGACTGATTCCCAGATTCTGATTCTCAACAAGGAGATTGCCATGTTGGAGCAAGTGTGTAAGGAACATGAGAACAAAGTAACACATTTGCAGAATGATAATGATGTACTAAAAGGTGAAGTCGATCATTTCAAAACTCAGTTAGCAGCAACAGAAGCAAACATGGGTGACATAGAACATCAGAATTGTATCCTTGTGAATCAACAAGAAGAATCATATTTACGGTTACAAAGTCTTTCATCAGAGCTACATATAGCCTGTGATAAACTGAAGGACAGCAAGCACAAATGTGAACATGTATCAAAACAGCTCTCAGATTGTCTTGAGGAAAATGCTTCTCTTGTGGTCAAATTGAGTCAGTCTGGAGAAGAAGTGAAGCTAATCCAATCCAAACTGGATGAATCCGAACAGAAGCTTAAAGCCCTTGAAATGGAATCGAAACAGATCAAGGCAGAACTTGAAGGCAAATGTTTGGAGTATGAGAACCAGTTGAGTGAGATTCAAGATACTAAGGTTGTGTCTGAATCTTCAGCGTCAAGGGAGGATGATGCAGAGATCCAGAGACTCCAGAAGGAGCTAGCCGAAGCAAAAGCTGGATTGGAAGAAGTTAGTCTTGGTGCTGAAAAGAGTTCTGAAGCTTTACAGAATCAGTGTGATGGATACGCAGCAGAGGCTGCCAAACTGCAAGCAGACCTATCTCAGGCCAATGAAGAGCTATCTCAGGCCAAGAAAGAATTTTCCAAGAGCCAGGAGAGGATTGTGGCTTGTGAACATGAGCTAAAGGAATTGGCTGCAGAAAGAGAATCATTGCAGCAGGAGCTTACGACTACAAATGTTGAATTGTGTCAGGTTAGAGATTTGTTAGAGAAAGAGCAAGAGCAGTCCCAGATTTTGAAGTCTGAGAGAGATGGACATGACGATGAAGTTTGTTCTTTAAAACAAAAAATGGATGAAACTAGAACAGAGCTACAGCAAGAAAAGGAAAATTCAATCAGTCTTCAATGTGAAGTTTCCAGCTTGAAGAAGGGAATGGAAGATGCCGCGGAAGTTATGGCAAGGAATAAACAGGAAGTGACATCATTAAGAGACCAGTGTGATTCACTGTCAGAAGTGAATCGGAAAGAATCTGAAACTCAGAGAGACATTCTATGTGAAGAAGTAGCCTCCACCACACAAAGACTCCACAGCGCCTCATCTGAGATTGGGAAAATGAATCTGAAAATGCAACATAATGATGAACTGACTAAACAGAAACTTCAAGAACTTGACGACAAATGCAAATCATCTGAAGATATGATGAATACTCTCCAGACTGAGAATGAACATTTACATGAGTTAGAGAAACAGGTTGTTGAGCTGAAGAAGAAACAAGAATTAATGGAAACTGACTTGGATAAAAAGGAATTGCAGATATCCAACCTAAGAGGGGAGGTGGAACAAAAGGCCGAGGAGTTGTGTTCTGTGAAGGAGGTGGCAGAGTCCACAGTGAGAGATAAACTACAGATAACACAGTTACAGGAACAACTTCAGAAGCATCAAGTCGAGTTTGAGGAATCAGCTCTGAAGCTTGCATGTGCTCAAGACACTTCTGAAAAGGTATCCTCTGAACTGAATGACACAAAAGCTTTACTGTTGACCAGACAGAGTGAGTTGGATCAAACTGTTGCTAAGCTGCAGGAGCTGACATTTGGAGCTGAACAGAGCCAGGCTGAGCTGCAGTTGAAGTGTGCAAACCAAGCTGCAGAGATTTCTAAACTTGGATTAGAGAAGGAGAGAGTGATGGAGGAGCTAGAGAAAGTTGTCGCCGAGGCTGAAACAACCAGAACTGCACTCGTGACAGATGTTGAGAAGTTTAAGATGGAAGCAGGAAGCATTCAAAATGAGCTTCAGCAAATGAAATTGGAACATGGCAGTCGTCTTACTGAGGAGCGAAATGTCAGATCTGAATTTAAGTCCCAACTTGATGTTGCTTCAAGAGAAAGTAGCCAGCTGCAAACTGCTTTAGACAATGCAAATAGAGAAGTGGAAGAGACCAGGTGTGAGATGCAGAAGTTGAGTTGTGATTACCAGGTGCAGTTAGAACAATATGCAAGACATGTTGAGGACCTCAAAAATGAGAATAGAGCAAGTAAGACCGAATTTGAGCGTTTGCAAACAAAATCCCAGTTTGAAGAGGATAATAAAATGGAATTGCAAAATCTTGTTGAGCATTCTGTGGCAGAAATTAAGAAGCTGAAGGATGATATGAAACTAAGTAAGCAAGAACTGGAGGATGTTCAGGCCAAGAACCAATCTTTGGAAGAGACACTATTCATTGAGCAGGCCGCAAGGGTAGAACTACAGTCTCAGTATGATAGCATGTCGTCCGAGTTTGACAGAGTAAATGCAAGTGAAAAGAAACTGAAGAAAGACTTTGTTAATTATGTACAAAGGATTGAGTTGCTGATTACCCTGACTAACCTGAAAACTGATGACGTTCAACATGTAGATGTGTCAAGTATTGGAACTGGTTTGGGTGTGTTGGAGGAATCTTTGAACAGGATGAATCTTTACATTGAAGAGCAGACTGCAATCAAGGAAGGTTTGACAGAAAAGCTTACTTGTCTTGAAGCCAATAGCACAGAATTGAACAGGAGAATGTCATCCCTGTCAAGTTCAGAAGAAGCCTTGAAGTCAGTTGTGGAAGATCTGAAGGATAAACTGGAGAAGGCTGAGTTGCAGGGGTCATTAGCACTGGCTGAGGTGAAGTCTTGCCAGCACAAGGTGGAATCTCTTCAGGAGGAGAAAGAAATACTGAAAGCTAACTTTGACTCTTGCATGGAAGACATGCAACAGAAACTGTCTGAACAGGAAATGAGGACAAGAAAATTTCAAGGAGAGATGATTGAGACTGCCAAAGATAAAGACCGAGATAGCAATGAGACGAAGTTGATGTATGAGGCCCATATATCACAAATGGAAGAAAAACAGCTTGCTGTTGAGACTGAACTTGCTCGGGCAAAGAAAATCATCTCTGAATCTACAGAGACTAAGAGCACTGTCCTGGATACGTATGAAAACAAAGTTTCTGAGATGGAGGAAAGTATTAACCGTTTGGAGTTTGAGAAAACAAGACTAACAGACCAGCTGTCCAAATCCAGTGAAAACTTTCAACAAGAAAAGGAGGAGATCAAGAGCATTTTTGAGTCTCAGATTACCGAGCTGGAAGAAAACTGCAAAGCACTGGAGTCTGCTATGTTCAGACTGAAGGATCAGTTGTCTGATGCAGCTAAGGCTCATGAACAAGAAAAACAAGACATGGAAAAGACCTTTGACATGCAGCTGTCAGAATGGGAGGACAGATGTAGAATATTCGAAATGGAAAATGGAAAGTTGAAGAGACAGATGGATGAAATGGACAGAGATTTCAAATCTGAAAAAGAGGAAATAGAAAGGATGTATGAAAGGCAACTTATTGAATTAGAGGACAGATGTAGTCAGAGTGAACTCACAGCCAACACATCAAAGCGAAATATGGCAGATATTTCGGTAGACTTTGATGATGTAAAATTGACGTATCAGATAAAGGTTCAAGAACTGGAAGAAAGGTGTGAAGAGCTGGAGAAGAGCAGACTGGATGTTCAAGAAAGACTTGAATTAGTGAGCGAAAGTGCCCAACAAGAGAGGAAGAGTCTTCAGGGCTCGATGTCGGCACAAATCACTGACATTCAGAAACATTATACAGTACTGGAAACGGAGTATTCAGCATTGAAGGAGGTTTTTGAACAGACTCAGACTAGTCACAAAGAAGAAGTAGATCAGCTGAAGCTTGATTATCTGAGGAAGATGGAAGTTTTGGAGGAAAAGTTGGAACAGTTTTCAGTTCAGGTGGTGCAAGATAATCTGCAAGTGGAAACAGCTTCCTCAGAAAAGAAAGAAATTCAGAGCCTAAGAACAAACACTGAAGCATACAGATTCGAGATCGACAGACTGACAAAGGAGAAGGAGGATATTCAGTCAGATCTAGAACATGAAAGAGAACACTTGAAAGACGTTACTCAGAAACTTGATGATTTGAAAACCATTCACCAACAAGAGGTTGATAATTACAGAATGCAGATTGAAAGTATGGCTTCAGGGGAAGAGTCAGATGTGGTTAAGGAGACTATGGATAGAATGAGATCAGAAATAGAGAAACTGACATTGGAAGTTACGTCTTCAAAACAGGACTTGAAAAAGGAAAAGCAAAAACTGAAAGCAGCCAAACTTGCATCTGAGAAGAGCAAGAAGGAAGCTCAAATCCTGAAGACATCATCGGAGCAGGAGATTCAGTCTCTGAAGCTACGACTGGAGTCCTGGGAAGTCGAGCTCATCCAGAGGAGGAAGTTTGTGGAACAGGACCAAACTGTGGTGGACAGCGAGGGAGCAGTGGCTGATTCAGGTTCAAAGAGACAAGCAGAGCTTGAGATACTGGTGAAGAATTATGAAAGAAAGGTTGATGATCTCACACGCAAACTTGACCAGCATCAGAATGACCCAAGGCAAATGAATTTTGTTCCAGCTGATCATAATGGATCAAGTGAACCACCTGAAGGTTTTGCTGCAATAAAAGAGCCACCATTCACAGATGCCTTTGAACCTGAGCCTTTAACACCAGATGTATTACAAAGTCAACCAAGATTTCATTCAGATAGAGGTCACATTTCTAAGGAAACAGTTGTGCCAATAATGCAAGGATTCCAGCCAGAAGTTGAAGGTCATGATGAAGGTTTTGTTCCTGAGGCTGGTCATCCATTGAGTCACAACTTAACATTAAATAGGACAAAGGAAGAGAAAGCCAATGTTCAAACTGAGTCACATTCTGCCCAACCCAACGATAGCCTCACTAGTGGGGATGGCTTCCTGCCAGAGGTGGATGATTCCAAAACTGACACATTCCAACCTGAAGCTGCAGGTGAATTCAAACCAGATCGCATACAATCTCAAAGCCACCTGACTTTGAGCACCATTCCTCAGCTGTCTCCCATTACAGCTGGCTCACAGTTATCTCCCCCTACAGCTGGCACACAATTATCTCCCCTTACAACTTGCACACAGTTGTCTACAACTGGAACACAAACTGAGGTCTCTGATGTACAATCACCCAATACTGTAGAGCCTGAGACACAGGGACCAACATTAACATCTCCCGCCAATGATTCAACCATGCCTGAAGATCTCCAGCTTTTGAAGAGGCAGCATGACCATGAAAAGGGTCTTATAGAAGAAGAGTATATGAGGAAAATGAAGAGTCTTGAGGTGGAGCTCCAACACAAGCACCAGACTGCCATGGAGGAGTACCAAAAGTCTGTTGATCATAAGATGCAGCAGGACTTGTCAATTAGGACACGGAAGAAACATCAGGAATTCATAATGGAATTGAGGAAAGCAAGGAAAAACCTGGAGGCCAAACACAAGGCTGAAGTGGAGAAGGTGAAACAAGAGATGTCCTCCAGACTTGAGGCAGCAGTTGTGGAGCAGTCCGAGTCCGAGCTTCTCAAGCAGCTCCACAAGGAGAACCAGGTAATGACTTAATCTGTTTTTACTTTGCATTATGCTTTTGAATGTAAGAAGAGAAAGTTTTCTAAGACTCATCTGTAATCGGTATGGACACTTCTTTTGATGGACGGACAGTGAGTAATCTGCTGGAATACCTAGTTCGATCTCCCACATTGTGACGATTTTCAAAGCCTATATAATGATCTGTAAATATAGAGCTTGAATAATGCTCATAACTTATTAAAACCAAGCTCACCCATTTTGAACATGAACTGTCCTAATCAAAACTTGTCACTTCAACAAACATTAGATCAAGAGCTGCTGTGTGCAAGATGTTAAGATGATGATGGATTTTATGACTGATAACATCATTTAGTCCTGTAATTCCCAATAATAATCAAGTTGTTCCGAAATGTGTTTCATTGCTTGACATAATAATGTATTCCACTAATATAGTCGTAGAATGTTGCCAAAGGGGTGTGAAACATATGTCATTAGCTGTCATGTATACTTCCTGAGATTGGTTTATGACATGAATATACACTTCTTTAACTTTTTGCAGGACCTTGCTGAGGCAAGAGATGCTTTGCTGCAAGAGATCTCACAGAACCAGCAGATTCAAGAGGAGCAGGAGTCCTTGGAATCAAAGCCAGAACAAAAAACCTCCTCGCCTAAAGCTGATCATTCAACTGATGACTCCCAGAGAGACAGCTCTGATCGGCATCAATCAGACAAATTCCTTGAAGAGCTGGAGAGTTTGTCTCTGAGATCTGGGAGTGAACTGCCCCTGGAGTGGGAAATAGCCATGTCCAGTGATGATGGAGTGTTTGACAGAGAACTTGATGGAGATGGATACTGTGCCAGACATGAGTGCCTTGAGATGAAGCAAAAATATCAGAGACTCTTTGAATTGTACCAGCGGGCTCAGGGTGATAGTGAGAGTGTTTTCATTGTTGAACAAAGTCCAGAAAGAAACCCAAGCTCAAACCTTGGAAGGAGAAGCAGAGTCAACAGTAGTGAACAAGGAAGTGAGACCACAGGGTCTAGCTATCCTAGGCATGAGGGTGTGGACACATCACAAGAAGTCAGTGAGGGGGAGTTTGAGGATAGCTTCAAGGATCGGATTCAGAAACTGGAAGCAGAGAATATTGCTTTAGAGAAGAAGCTGTGTGACCAGCTTGAGATGTTCAGTGTGGAGAAACATCAATTGGAGAAGAGATGCGAACATCTTCAGGTAAATTTGAATAACACAGCCTTTTCTCGTCAGGAAGTTGAGGACAAACTAGTGCAACAGAATGAAATACTCCAGAGCTCTCTGTCTCAGCTTAGGACTGAGTTCAAGTCAAGTGTTGATGAAGAAATAGTTGAGGAAGTTGTTGATCAATCATCTTGTGCCTTCGGGACAGCTTCTGTTCAAACACAGACTGAAGTTAGTGGAGACGCTTTAGTGACGATAATGAATGAACAGACTGAGGCCCATCAGAGATCCTTTGTTAGGGGAAATGACTTGGCTGATGAGATACTGGAAGAGACTTTGTCAGCAAGGAAGGAAGATGAGAGTGGGGACCCAGATGCAAGAATGAGCACACCAAAGAGTGAGAAGAAAAATGTACGAACTGAGCTCAGCTTCACAGACAGTGAAGCAGGAGTATCTCAGTCTCAGATTACTTCTGTATCCTCGCCGGAAGACAGTCTCCTTCTGCCAAGTGTAGATCACATGGAAAGAATGATTTTCTCAGATTCCAGGAAATCATTAAGTCCGACCAGCAGGGTTAGGAAGAAGAAAGAGTCCCCTATTGAAATCTCATTCAACACTACCTCAATTGTCTCGATGAAAAGTACAGAAGGAGGGGTGTCTGTAAACCAGGAACAGGTAGAAATTACAGGGACTGTGAACTCTGCTGGAACTATTGTACCAGAGGATTACGCTAAAGTGGCACTGGAAATTCATCATACTGAACTGGTTGAAGAGATCTCAAGATTGAGACGAGATCTCCATGAAACTAAGGCCATGTATGCTCGGGAGCTTGCCTTGCTTCAGGAGCAGCTTGAGAGGGAGAAGTTAGCTCGACTGTTGTGGCTGGAAAAGAAAGTTCCAGATGACCAGCTCATTAAAGAGCTGCCTCTACAGACTGATGTGATAGAACTACGCAAAGAAGTGGCTTTGCTTAAGGAGAATAATAAGATGATTATGAATGACAACAAGCATCTGATGGAGCAGGTGAGAGAGAAGGAGTGTGCCCTGTTGCATTTCCGGGATAAGTATGATCTGCAGTCAGTGGAGCTAGAGGAGTTTAGTCATGGATCTGACACCCAGCTGCTAATGATGCAGAAGCAGAGAGATGAGTTGTTGGAGGAGCTGAAGGACTTTCATTCCGAACATGAGAGACTCTTGTCAGTCCTGGATGCTCGAACTGTCATGGAGGAGACCCTGAGACAAGAGAAGGAGATGCTGCTTGAGAAACTCGTCCAGCATGAAGATGTTCAAAACATCTCCACGCAGAAACACTCAGAGCTTGAGTTTGTTCGGGGAGAGCAGAGGAGACTTGAACAGCTTTTGTTGCTGAAGGATGAGAATGAGCAGCAGCTGCAGAAACAAAAACGTGTCCTGGAGGAGGAGTTGTACGATATTGAAGGCAGACTGAGAGAAAGGGAAGCATTCCTGGAAGAAGAGAAGCTCAGGTTGCTCAGAGAGGTGAAAGAAAAGAGCCTGACCATCTTGAAGCTTGAGACGATGACTGGAGGATCCAAAGAAGGTCCCAGTAGACAGGGTGCTCGACGAGCCTCCACTGGACATGTGCCCAGTAGTACCAGGCCAGGTGTGAGGGAAGGTCCGACAACAGTGGACACTCCCTATGATGAGGCGATTGAGATTCTGAGAGAGAAGCTGAAGGTGGAGTATGAAGTCAAGGAGGCCGTGATTCAAGAACAACATGCTGGACAAACAGCAGCGTTCTGGCAGCAACAGAACAAGAAGGTGCCTTAGTGTTCTGCTCCTGTTGTTTGGAGAGTGCAGAGTTCATTCAAGTCATGGGTCAGAACAAAATAATGCCAACTTCGTCTATCTGTGATTCGTTCACCCATCTTGAATTAGTTCTGCAAGGGTAGCGCTGTGGTTAAGGCTTTTTCCTTTACCTTGTTTTGCTAGGGACTGACTTGTGAACCAGGAAAGACAATAGGCCAATTAGTTGTATTTAGTGGATAGGCAACAAATATGTGACATATGGAATGTTACAGTACCTGACCAAAAAAAGAGAAAAGTCGTGATTTATATGTATTTTGAAATCTTACTTTAGAAAATCCACAATAGTAATAGCAACATATTGGTTGTCTTTGATTGATGTGAAATTGTGATTGTAAACAGAGGTGATGCATCCTGTGGTAATTGGAGACATTTGTCACTGTTTATCCAACAAGCTTTCCTGGTTCATGCGGGATTTTGGAATTTTTAATTTTTTATATTTTTGTCATTTCCACTTTATGACTTGTAGATTGAAACTCCACTCCAGGCTGGTTGCCGTGGTCGGTTCAGAGTTTCAGTTTGCATTCTTTGAATGTTTCAGATGGTGCTACTGTTTGCCTGGAAGGGCTGTCTATGCACATATTTATTGAGAAAATATTTTTGATGATACAGACTTATTCCCAGAGATATAAATGTCCAGGACGTATTGTACATAACACTGCAACTGGTGGTATATGTCAGTTACTAACATATGATTTCTGGTGTGGAGACTTTTATTTTGGAATGGATTTTCATCACATGAATCAATAACCACCAACAGAACATACAGTGGACTCTGTCAATACCGGCCTCTCTTAACACCGGCACTCTGTCTACATCGGCACAAAGTTTCAGTCCCGGCAGAAATGCACGTTATTATCATTTAGAAACTTCTGTAAACATCGGCATCTGTCTATTCAGGATATCGGCATTGTTTTTCAGTCCCAACGAACAAGTTGTTATGAAAACGAATCTGTAAAAACCGGCACATGAAAGACGACGTAACCCTTTGATGCAATTAGGTCCAAATGATGTAACAACACAATTCGCTCTGACTCCCGAGATTATTCAGAAACGGAAGTGTTAATCAGTATCTTGTTAATCAGTGAGTGGTAATGTAACACTTACCCAGAGTAATTAATACATATAGTGGGCAGTTTGACTGTATAAACAAGCAAGTGTTTACATTTTGTTGATTCGCTGGTATTGACTCCGAGATTATTCAGAAACGGAAGTGTCAATCAGTTTCTTGTTAATTAGTGAGTGGCACGTGTCACTTACATAGAGGCTTAATCGCTTGATGGCGTGTATCGCTCGAAAAGCTCTGAACATCAACAATATCACTGTACTCTTGCCGAGTATTTTCACATTTGTAAGAAGCGATTTTATTGGATAAAGATTGGTTTCTAACGACGCTTTTCACTACACTCTGCTTATAAGGGTCGTGGATTGGTCAAAATCAGACACGCGACCTAAGCAGCCAATCATATTATGGAAATGGATACCGCCCTCGTAAACGAAAAGTTTTAGATTAAGACAAAAGTTTTGGGTAAATAATGCTATTCTGAACATATTAAGAAAGACATCGCTACCTATACGTAAATCATGGAACGTATTGGACATATCGTGCTAGGTTATGGCCTATGACAAAAATGCTTCACGCATATATTTTCACATTAAGCATCGCGTGAAAGCCGAGATGTAACGTGTCAGTGACTTGACTTACATTGCATGATCGCTCAAAAGAATGGAAATAGTAATTTTATATGTACGTTTGACAACTTTTATGAATGTTATTGTTGATTTCAATTTACTTAATGATTTCCTCGATGTTTGAAACATCGTTACTTTGCTCTTTGACAATGCTATTGTAGACCCGCTGCCGGAAGCATAAACAAGAATCGTTGTTTGCAATAACATTGCGACACTGCCTTGTTTCTTATTCAAACATCTTGTTAATGCTAACGTGACAGTACGACAGCGAACTTCCGTGTGCGCAGGCGTCATAAGCGAACCTAGCTAAACCGGCACTCTGTCAAAACCGGCATTTTTACTTGGTCCCGACTGATGCCGGTATTGACAGAGTACACTGTATTTTCTTGGTTATAATGTTATTTTTGCGATATATTAACACAGTTTTGCATTAGTTTCGTAGTGCTGTAGAGGTAACCAGGAGTGTTTTCTTGTGGTATATTTAACTTCATAAGCTCGCTGTGATAGCTGCATAGAGTGTAGTTTTAATGCTAGATGTTTTTCCCCTTGAAAGTTCTATGTATATAGTTATTATTGTACATAGTTGATGAGATGGGCCAACACTTAACAGATGGTGCATGCCAACCAGATGTTTTATTACTGAAACCACTTAAAGGAATAATTGTGGAATGGTCTTGACAATTTCCGTGGATGGTAAGACAATGACACCAGCCAGGTTATAGAATTATTTTGTTGATGTTTCTGAAGAGGAAACATTTCCCTCTTTGCTAACTGGTCATTGAAGAGGACACGCACATCCTTTCATCCACTGATGTAGCCTTGATGTGTTAAGTTCATGAACATGGCAACCATATTATCATTGCTGCCATTTTTACCCAAGTTTACCAAACTAATTTATTGACTGTTGAACGTTCCTTCTTACTAATGAGCACTATCTATTGGAGCATAGCTGGAAATACTGTACCTCCGGTAGTAGTTGTGTAGAAAATAGTCTCTTCTTTTGATTATAAAGAAACGTGTTACAATGCTGCTGTCCAGACAGTGATTATCAGCAGAGTGTACAGTGAATTGCCCAGGTTTTAGTCCTGTTGAAGACTACTCTCAGGGAAAGAGTCAATTATACCTCAGTTTGAGCAAAAGCTTTATTTGTTTGACTTAAACCACCTTCTTCTGTAGTTAACCTGATTACTGCATCTGCAACACACTTTCCTAAAAATGTTTTTAATGATTTTTTAATGATTTTTGTTTACACTTATCTGTATGTTTTGATTAATTCTCTGAAATTATTTAAGTTCAGGTAAATATGTTCCACATTGTATGGATCTACACAACACCTTTTAGAAAGTAGTTGAATGTAACATGGTATGTTTGGGATAACAAAGAGAGCAACAGCCAGGTGTGCGAGAAAGGATGGAGACGGCACAACACAGGTAAATGATTCAATAACTTTGTTGGCACTTGTGCACATGCTCCACGTACACCTGGCTGTTCCTCTTTGCACAGGTACAGGTTCTAGGGCTCTTTCGTCTGGCACCTAGTTGCCAGCACACAAAGTCAGCGATCTAACCCACTCAGCCACTGCAGCTTCCATGAAAGTCAAGATCACGTACTCTGTCTACCCCTCTGACAAATGTAAATTTGCACAGATCCCATGTCCGAAACCTGGTCCTAGGTAATTATAGTCAGTTAGTGGCAGGTACTGAAGCTCACCTTAACCTGGTCTTAGGTAATTACAGTCAGTTAGTGGCAGGTACTGAAGCTCACCTTAACCTGGTCCTAGGTAATTACAGTCAGTTAGTGGCAGGTACTGAAGCTCACCTTAATCTGGTTCTTGGTAATTACAGTCAGTTAATGGCAGGTACTGAAGCTCACCTTTGCCAGGTCCTAGGTAATTACACTCAATTAGTGCAGGTACTGAAGCTCACCTTAACCTAGTCCTGGGTAATTATTCAGTTAGTGGCAGGTACTGAAGCTCACCTTAACCTGGTCCTAGGTAATTTCAGTCAGTTAGTGGCAGGTACTGAAGCTCACCTTAACCTGGTCTTAGGTAATTACAGTCAGTTAGTGGCAGGTACTGAAGCTCACCTTAACCTGGTCCTAGGTAATTACAGTCAGTTAGTGGCAGGTACTGAAGCTCACCTTAATCTGGTTCTTGGTAATTACAGTCAGTTAATGGCAGGTACTGAAGCTCACCTTTGCCAGGTCCTAGGTAATTACACTCAATTAGTGCAGGTACTGAAGCTCACCTTAACCTAGTCCTGGGTAATTATTCAGTTAGTGGCAGGTACTGAAGCTCACCTTAACCTGGTCCTAGGTAATTTCAGTCAGTTAGTGACAGGTACTGAAGCTCACCTTAACCTGGTCCTAGGCAATTAGGGTATATTGATGGCAGTTACTGAAGCTCAGCAGCTCAACACTATGAACATAGAAAGTTAAGATATAGTGTACCGAAAGTTAATGCCACAGCAGATTAACAGGACCCCATCCAACCAGCTTGTAGATGTTTTTCTCTATTGGGAGCTACTGATGGCAATGTTTGTCTGTGCTCAGAACTTGTTAACTAGCCAGTACTTGGCATTAATCATATATGATTTTGACTACCTGTGGATGTTCATTGCGTTAATACCGATAACGGACCAATTAGCTTCAGGTTAATGATAGGATGAAATTTGTGTGAAGCATCAGTTGATGATGAGGTGCTAGCATTACTGAAATACCACAAACATTGGCATCATATTTTTCAAGTAAGTAGGACTTAGTTTTGCTGTAATAGTTAAAAGTGTGGAAGTAAAGTTATGGTTGAGAATCCTCGTGATGAGATTATGATCCGTGATGAGATTATGATGTTTGGTCATTGTTCCCAGACCGGCCAGGTTATGATGTTTGGTCATTGTTCCCAGATCGGCCAGATTATGATGTTTGGTCATTGTTCCCAGACCGGCCAGATTATGATGTTTGGTCACTGTTCCCAGACCGGCCAGATTATGATGTTTGGTCATTGTTCCCAGACCGGCCAGATTATGATGTTTGGTCATTGTTCCCAGACCGGCCAGATTATGATGTTTGGTCATTGTTCCCAGACCGGCCAGATTATGATGTTTGGTCATTGTTCCCAGACTGGCCAGATTATGATGTTTGGTCATTGTTCCCAGACCGGCCAGGTTATGATGTTTGGTCATTGTTCCCAGATCGGCCAGATTATGATGTTTTGTCATAGTTCCCAGACTGGCCAGATTATGATGATTGGTCATTGTTCCCGTTCTCAGATCGGCCAGATTATGATGTTTGGTCATTGTTCCCAGATCGGCCAGATTATGATGTTTGGTCACTGTTCCCAGACTGGCCAGATTATGATGATTGGTCATTGTTCCCAGACCGGCCAGATTATGATGTTTGGTCATTGTTCCCAGACCGGCCAGATTATGATGTTTGGTCACTGTTCCCAGACCGGCCAGATTATGATGTTTGGTCACTGTTCCCAGACCGGCCAGATTATGATGTTTGGTCATTGTTCCCAGATCGGCCAGATTATGATGTTTGGTCACTGTTCCCAGACCGGCCAGATTATGATGTTTGGTCACTGTTCCCAGACCGGCCAGATTATGATGTTTGGTCACTGTTCCCAGACCGGCCAGATTATGATGTTTGGTCACTGTTCCCAGATCGGCCAGATTATGATGTTTGGTCATTGTTCCCAGATCGGCCAGATTATGATGTTTGGTCACTGTTCCCAGATCGGCCAGATTATGATGTTTGGTCATTGTTCCCAGATCAGCCAGATTATGATGTTTGGTCATTGTTCCCAGACCGGCCAGATTATGATGTTTGGTCATTGTTCCCAGATCGGCCAGATTATGATGTTTGGTCATTGTTCCCAGACCGGCCAGATTATGATGTTTGGTCATTGTTCCCAGATCGGCCAGATTATGATGTTTGGTCATTGTTCCCAGATCGGCTAGATTATGATGTTTGGTCATTGTTCCCAGACCGGCCAGTGCAATAGTCCACAGTCTTGGTGCTGTAGCTGCTCTCACTGAACAGTGTTTTTTGTGAAGTCTTGAATTAGCCTCATCTTCTGTTTTACACGTCCAGTGAAGTCATCACGTGTGTGCATGGTTCATAATAATAATTAGTAATAATTATTGATTTAGTGCTTAGTATCCATTGACAGGTGCTCACAGATGATGTTAGAACCAAGTTTTAAATCTTCCTTTGGTTGTTGGTGTGTCTTTGTACTTCAACGACTTGGGTCATTTCTCATTATGTTGGTCACTGGCAGAATATAATCAAGCTGTCACACACCTGCTGGCATAATGTTTCCCCAGAAATTCTGATCTGTAAAGAAATCTTAGTGCAACAAGTTTGGTAAGTGTTTTATGATCATCTTAGAACTAAGCTGGCTGGTCGGTGGGAAAAGCCAGGACTATGTGTAGATACAGCGTAAGGATATACTCATCTTGTCATGTCGCTTGTCTTACCAGTCACATTCCACGTAGGTTGCCATGTTAGATGTGATGGGATTGTCCATTTGTTTGATGGGATTCTACTGAGCTAATGTGTCTGGTTCTGGTGTAGTGGTTCAAGAGGCTGCTTGCTTATGACAGGCATCAGGTGATTTCTAAGTTTGGTTGGAAGTCTGTGTTAAGGTGTTGGAGTCGTAATCGTCACAGCGCCAGGGCCACAGTGTGGACATGTGTCCTAGCTGATTGAGTGTCATCTGATGCTGAGGACAGGTGCTCCAACAATCATTGCTTTGCCCCACTATTTATGTTTATATTCACTTTGATTCAGCAGTAGCTGGGATATTGGTGACTATGGCATAAAGCAACCTTCACTTGTTACTTGCATGGAGTTTGCATGATACTTGAATATATAGAATATCCTTCATGACCGACTTCAAAGCTCTACTACCAGTGTGAATCTGCATTCTACTAACCAGTACCATCCTCTTGGGTCAGGGGTATTTTATTGGCAGCATCTTTAACCAGTATCTATAACCATTAGACAAGTGCTTCAATCAAAATTTGTGTGAACCATTGAGATTATGTATCTATAACAGATAGACAAATGCTTCGATCAAAATTTGTGTGAACCATTGAGATTAGGTCATCTTTCTGTAGTTCCATTATTCCTGAATGGACATTTGTGAGCCGTGCAGTTACGCTGAATTCATAATCATGATAATAAGTTTGTCGTATTCATTTATGAATCAAGATTAGAAAAAGGTGATATGTGTGAGATGTATGTGTAAGTGCAATGTGTGAGAACCTTGGATGTTTGTGTAAGGTAAAGCTGACCTGTACATGTCTACTGTCCATGGTGTGAGAACTTGTTGTATGTGCTGTTCAGGATGTTCACCAAGTACTCATTATTATCAATATTATTATTAGAGCATTTCATAATGGTATGTTTTCTACTTTGGTGTAAATATGTTTTGTTTTTGTATTGAATCAAAGCATTGTTTTAGAAAGCAGTGTGACCTGAGTTAGTAAACTTTGTGAAACAATCTTTTCTTTTGTTTTTATTTTATCAGCTTCTACATCAGCTTTCATCATTTGCTTTTACTGACAAATTAAGGAATGGTTACCATGGTTACAACTTTGCTTATTCAGTTGAGATCTAACACCAGGGATTAAGGAATGGTTGTTCTTTTTAACTTTGCCCCAAAATGCTAGAATTTCTGAATTGTCGGAAGATTGTAAGTTTGAAAGAGGGGACACTTGTCACCTTCTGATTGCTTCTTTGGAACATTTTCGACATTATATTTACATTTCTGCTTGTAGTGTTTTTACAGCTTGTAAAATGAATATTGTTCACATTTGTTTTATTCACAATGCAGATTCACACCACAATATGTAGAAGTCCCTTATGTATCGAACATCATGAAGGTATTCTATCAAACCTACAGACAGGTATACCAATACAAATCTGTCAAAGCAACAGGTATCACCATCAACAGGAGCGTATTCAAAACTGGTAGGATTTCTTGCTCCGTGGGAATGAAGCATGGTGTTAATGCTGGTTTGAATTAGGTCTTGTATGTTTATGGGTATCCATTTATGGAACTTGTAAAACCTAACGTGCCAGGTGGTTGAGTGGTCTTATGAGCTTGAGGTTTCTGTGCAGAGTGTCTTCCCTTACCCATGTCAAGATCTGCTGACCACCATGGGTTTCACATGTGACATATGACCCGAACATGATCCTTGGTTTGTCTACAACATTATGCTTCAGGGCAGCAGGTTAGTGGCAGTTCTGTAAGTAAAGAATGTCCAGGGAACGTGACACTGACTGCATCAGTGTTACTATAGCAACTGTATGGAGTTGAGTCTGCTGGATGTAACTTTATGGAACAGATAAGTACAGGATTTCTCTCAGTATCTCGGATGTTCAGATTATAGACAGAACTAACCTGCTACTAGGCAGTGTTCACAATGAAAATAAGTCAGCAGTTTCTGAGATTAATATAAATAGACTGATGACATCTAATGAGGTTTATCTGTAGAGATATGATGATGACTCCTCAAAATGTTTACTGGTCCTGCTTGAAAGTGCCAAAACTGTTACTTTGTATACTTGTTGTGTGAGTTGTAGTCAGTATCAAATTGGCATTTTATAGCTAGTGGAAACTGACTCAGAATTCCGGCCCTCAGATGTTACTAGTCAGTTAGGACTACCGTTATTGACTTGTCTTCAGCACAGTTTAGTTTTCTCGGGATAGTGGACTAGTGTTAACTTTGACGGCTGCATCTCATGGTAGTATGTCTTATGTGGATCCCCCAGTCTGCTGCTTCTCGGAGTGGTTGATAGTTTTAATGTTTGTGATATCAATACATTGTCCTATAACAACTGTAGGTGCCTCAGTGGGTGCTTTGATGTTGAAGTTGACACTGTGTTCCACCAGATCTATTGACTTAGCTGTGACTGTGGCATTCATTGTTCATGTGACATTACTCGGCAATAAATCAGGTTTTCTCGGTGTCAGGCAGCACAGTTTGAAATAATCTTTAGTTGTGAGTCACAAATGTATGAAAGAAACTTCACTTGTGGTCAATGTCTGAGGAAGTTTTAGTTTGTAATGTTTCTAGGCGTCTAATTTTTTCACTTTGTGTGAGGTTTTCATAACCACTCAGGGTTGATGGTCACTGTAAACGAACTATAAACTGTAAGCATATTTGGCAGGGTACAATGATGAAGCAAAATAAATATGTGTAAGAGTTTTCTTGTGTTGTTTATCAGATGTTGAAGGTTGCTTCCCTTGCCTTATTGATGACTGAGAATATTACTTAGCTGTTTTTTAGAT